TTTGTTTGTTTGCTTTTTGGGTGGAAGGGCTATAACAGCCTTACCTGAAACAAAAAAGGGCATACACTCGCTCCTGGCCATTAAAAGCGGCTACACCTTCCCTGAAACAGTATATTTGCAGTATATTTATGTAACTAAATGCGCGTCATTTAGGTTTAATGCAAAAACAAGTCATCCAAACACATCTTATTTGTGTTGCTTATTGACAACTGAAAGTTAGAATCAACATGTGACACTTGTGCGTCATTTGTTATTCATTGGACAAACACTTTCTGTTCTTTTAAAAATGTACAAAAATTTCCATCTACTCCTCTGAAAGTCCCTGTCTTACTTTTGTTCCATTTTAGGGAACCCCCCTCCCCGCTTTTCACTTCTCCAATGTCTCTGTCTGCAGCTCATTTTCTGTATCGTTGGTTTCATCCCACCAGCAGGACTTTGGCCTTCTTTCCCTTCCCACCAGTTAAACAGTCTCTCTCTGTCCTCCTCCCAGATCTCATTATAAGCAATGTTAGGAAGCTGGTGGCATCTCAGGAATCACATGGCAGGCAGCTGCACTCAGAAGTAGGTCACATGGTTAGGTGGGTAACCAGAGCACAGAGAAGCCAACCACGGGACAGCCTGTCAGAGGGAATAAACACTCCACATACTAACATGAAGGAAAATCCATATTTCAAGAATTGATAGTAAGAAAAGATGTTATAATTATGTAGCTTGTCCATTTCCCACAAAAGTCACCTGCTTTTGTGACTTTGTTGTTGCTAAATAGTGTCATTTCATTTTGATAGATGTGGTGTGAAGACAAGATAAACCTGGGGGTGTTTGCTAACTTTCTCACATGAGTTCTAAAACAAGGCCTCTTTTTGATCCTACTTCCAGCTGTTGCATACAAAAACACATTATTGAAGAATTGGCTGCTTAAAAAAGTATTTTACATGTTGCCTTCATGGCTACAGCACATTATGTATTTTCTAGGAACTTTCATTTTTCATAAAGTTAGAACAATGGCTGTCTGGAAGGAGCTGAAAAGGT